ACATTGAAAAACATTGTAATTCAAAGAATAGACAGACAGATTTTCACAGAACAGAAAGGGTGTGACTAAGGAAAAGGACACAACAAATAAACAGTATAACAGGGTGTGGTAATAAACTAGATTATTTTATGTGTCCTTATTGTATGATTTCGTGCCTGTGTGTCATTATAATGGATTGGTCTGTTATTTTGAGACCTGCCTTATTTAATTCCTCATTTGAAAAGCCTGTTTTCTGCAGTATTATATCAGAAAAGTAATAACAAAGACACAAATAATTCAAGCACTTGTAGGCATGAGTTCACTCACACGGATACACCTCACCAGCCTACATTACTTGACCTATACAGTATGACTATTTCAACCTACCTCTTCAGTCCCACCCTCATCTCAATTAAATACATACATCTACCATATCAATACATACATCTACTACACTACATCCACCACAGACTGTAGCTGTATCCAAGCCTGAGGGCAAACCCTATCAACAGTGACTGCAGTATGTAATCAAGTCTACTAGGCGAGGTGTTCAGGTCATGGAAGACTGCTCTAACACAGTAGTATCAGAAACAGGCTTCAACAGTGTACATTATGTATCAGTCAGTCTAGCCATGCCTAACCCACAGGAGACTGAAACATGCTCACATTCACGTGCAGCACTTTCACTCCTGGCAGATTAGATGGGGAGTATATTCTTTCAGAGCTGACTTGGTTTAAGATGTTGGCAAACATGTTTTCATGAGTGGTTTGATGAACATGAAAACGATGTAAACCATAAGTCACCAGATCTCAACCCATTTGAACACTTATGGGAGATTCTGGAGCGGCGCCTGAGACAGCATTTTCCACCACCAACATAACACTAAATGATGAAATGTCTCATGGAAGAATGGTGTCGCATCCCTCCAATAGAGTTCCAGACACATGCCAAGGCACATTGAAGCTGTTCTGGCTCGTGGTAGCCCAACACCCTGTTAAGACACTTTATGTTGGTGTTTCCTTAATCTTGGCAGTTACCTGTATACGAGTGTGTGTCCGTGTGTCTTTGATGGTTTATGTGTGTGTGTGTGTGTGTGTGTGTATTGCATGCATATCATGTTTGTGAATGTACAGTATTTGCATATATTTATGTGTATGCAGCATGTGTCAGTTATATTTGCACTATTTAGGCATTTCCAATTTTAGTTAGACTGTTCCTATATCCCACTATTCCACTTGTTCACACATCTCAGCAGTTGCGCAATTTCTATTGTGAACTCAAAGTCAGTGGAATGTTTTTACACCCTCTCTCCCTCCCATGGTTGTTCTTAAGTCTGAGGTCACAAGTGTTAGGTTTAACAGTGATGATGAAGAAACATTCCTTTCTCTCTCCGTCTATAATTTAGCCTCAATCTCTCCACTCCTTTCTTTGATTCTCCTCATTGGCATGTACATAAGGAATGAGGTGGCCGGGCGTCTTTAAAAGCCCAGTGCTTTTTATGTGTATTTCCACACTATGAGGTTGGAATAATACTGTAAAATTGTGAAAATTATGATAATGCCCTTTTAGTGTAAGAGCCGTTTGAAAACACAGCCTGAAATTTCAGCCTGTTTTGGTGGTATGGAGTTTTGGCCTGCCTGGTGACATTAGTTAATACACCAATAATCAAGAGTTTAAAACCTCTCTGCCAATAACAACTAGCTTTCAGTTTTCCCCTCCCAGACAGTCCTAGCAAAATTCTTGCTTGAGAAATTGCTCTTTGCTAAGAAGCTTTTTTTGTAAATTTTTGACCACTTTAATTGAAAACAATACCCGTAAGGTACTCACCTCTAGAGTCCAAGCCCTAAGCTAACATATGGAATTGTTTTTAAATGGTCATATCAAGGATCATTTAGCTATTTGATTTTGAATTTTAAGACCCCTTAAGGTATCAAAAAAATATATTAAACAAATATTGGATGAAACATTGAATTTGGCATTACTGCTATTAGCCAATAGAAACTTATTGAATAACAATTTCACTACATGGAACAACAGATAGTAAAAAAAAAAAAATCAAAAGGAAGTTTGTTCTGAAGTGTCTGTCCTATATCTGATAAATATAAGAATGATCAGAAAACTATTTTAATCTTTTAGACATGTACAGTTGAAGTCGGAAGTTTACATACATCTTAGCCAAATACATTTAAACTCAGTTTTTCACAATTCCTGACATTTAATCCTAGTACAAATTCCCTGTCTTAGGTCAGTTAGGATCACCACTTTATTTTAAGAATGGGAAATGTCAGAATAATAGTAGAGAGAATGATTTATTTCAGCTTTTATTTCATTCATCACATTCACAGTGGGTCAGAAGTTTACATACACTCAATTAGTATTTGGTAGCATTGCCTTTAAATTGTTTAACTTGGGTCAAACGTTTCGGGTAGCCTTCTACAAGCTTCCCACAATAAGTTGGGTGAATTTTGGCCCATTCCTCCTGACAGAGCTGGTGTAACTGAGTCAGGTTTGTAGGCCTCCTTGCTCGCACACACTTTTTCAGTTCTGCCCACACATTTTCTATAGGATTGATGTCAGGGCTTTGTGATGGCCACTCCAATACCTTGACTTTGTTGCCATTTTGCCACAACTTTGGAAGTATGCTTGGGGTCATTATCCATTTGGAAGACCCATTTGCGACCAAGCTTTAACTTCCTGACTGATGTCTTGATAAGTTGCTTCAATATATCCACATAATTTTCCTTCCTCATGATGCCATCTATTTTGTGAAGTGCACCAGTCCCGCCTGCAGCAAAGCACCCCCACAGCATGATGCTGCCACCCCCGTGCTTCACGGTTGGGATGGTGTTCTTCGGCTTGCAAGCATCCCCATTTTTCCTCCAAACGTAGCGATGGTCATTATTGCCAAACAGTTCTATTTGTGTTTCATCAGACCAGAGGACATTTCTCCAAAAAGTACGATCATTGTCCCGATGTGCAGTTGCAAACCGTAGTCTGGCTTTTTTATGGCGGTTTTGGAGCAGTGGCTTCTTCCTTGCTGAGCAGCCTTTCAGGTTATTTCGATATAGGACTCGTTTTACTGTGGTTATAGATACTTTTGTACCTGTTTCCTCCAGCATCTTCACAAGGTCCTTTGCTGTTGTTCTTGGATTGATTTGCACTTTTCGCACCAAAGTACGTTCATCTCTAGGAGACAGAACGCGTCTCCTTCCTGAGCGGTATGACGGCTGTGTGGTCCCATGGTGTTTATACTTGCGTACTATTGTTTGTACAGATGAATGTGGTACCTTCAGGTGTTTGGAAATTGCTCTCAAGGATGAACCAGACTTGTGGAGGTCTACACATTTTTTTCTGAGATCTTAGCTGATTTCTTTTCATTTTCACATGATGTCAAGCAAAGAGGCACTGAGTTTGAAGGTAGGCCTTGAAATACATCCACAGGTACACCTCCAATTGACACAAATGATGTCAATTAGCCTATCAGAAGCTTCTAAAGCCATGACATCATTTTCTGGAATTTTCCAAGCTGTTTAAAGGCACAGTCAACTTAGAGGATGTAAACTTCTGACCCACTGGAATTGTGATACAGTGAATTATAAGTGAAATAATCTGTCTGTAAACAATTGTTGGAAAAATTACTTGTGTCATGCACAAAGTAGATGTCCTAACCGACTTGCCAAAAGTATAGTTTGTTAACAAGAAATTTGAGGAGTGGTTGAAGAACGAGTTTTAATGACTCCAACCTAAGTGTATGTAAACTTCCGACTTCAACTGTAATTATCCCCTTAATTTAGGCACTAAAGTATCTCCATATATACTTCCATTCCTTTTTTAAACTGGTACCGGGACCTTCAGATGAGTCTTGAGGCTTGTGGGCATCCTAGAACAAAACGACACCATCGTGTTCATGAGAGTCCCATCTTTCAATAGAGTGATCATAATATACTGCACAAAGATATAAATGCAACATGCAACAATTCCAACGATTTTACTGAGTTACAGTTCATATAAGGATATCAGTCAATTGAAATCAATAAATTAGGCCCTAATCTATGGATTTCATATGACTGGGCAGGGGCGCAGCCATGGGTGGCCCTGGGAGGGCATAGGCCCACCCACTTGGGAGCCAGGCCCACCCACTGCGGAGCCAATCAGAATGAGTTATTCTCCACAAAAGGGCTTTATTACAGACAGAAATACTCCTCAGATTCATCAGCTATCCGTGTGGCTGGTTTCAGACGATCCTGCAGGTGAAGAAGCCTGGGATGTGAAGGTCCTGGGCTGGCGAGGTTACATGTGGTTTGCGGTTGTGAGGCTGGTTGGACATACTGCCAAATTCTCTAAAACGACGTTGGAGGTGGCAATTCTCTGGCAACAGCTCTGGTGGACATTCCTGCAGTCAGCATGCCAATTGCACGCTCCCTCAAAACTTGAGACATCTCTGTAATTGTGTTGTGTGACAAAACTGCACATTTTAGAGTGGCCTTTTATTGTCCCCAGCACAAGGTGCACCTGTGTAATGATCATGCTGTTTAATCAGCTTCTTGATATACAACACCTGTCAGGTAGATGGATTATCTTGGCTAAGGAGAAATGCTCATTAACTGGGATATAAACAAATTTGTGCACAAACTTTGAGAGAAATAAGCTTTTTGTGCTTCTGGAAAATATCTGGGATATTTTATTTCAGCTCATGAAACATGGGACCAACACTTTACAGGGGGTTAAATATAAAGGAGTTGGATGAAAGAGAGTGGAAGAAGAGGAGTTTATGGGAGAGACTGGACACATAATTTAGGAGTGGTATTAATATCTTGATATGATCACAAGTAATGAGTATACCATAGCTTTAATTCACTCATTAGATGAGAGGACTACATTTGATTTGTGATGGACACTGGCCAATTATAATGACAGCTGTTCAAAATGTTATCGGATGGATCTGGAATGAGGATAGAGTTCTAAGCACAAGCAAAGTGACAACAATACATGCCCCTCTCTGTTTTCTTTTGATTCTCAGGATGCCTGTCGAAACACCGTCAGTCAGACACACGTCTACAGTTGGTCGCTTCCCATCAGTCACACTGGGATTGGGGAAAGATGAGCCTGGGAAGGAGGAGCCAGAGGAGAACACAGAGGAAGGGGGGTGTCGACAATGGTTAAGTAAGATCTGTCCTTGTTGCTGTCAAAGACAGAGCGATGATGATGACATCACAGATAAGGTCGTCACAGGGATTGTTGATGTAGACAAGCTTGTTGGGAATGATGACAAGCCAGTCACTAATGAAAGTAAGCTTGAAGGTAATTTACACTTTTAAAAATACCATACAGCCGCTAGTGAAAGTCTACACACCCCTTGCACAGTCTTTACATTTTGCTGCCTTAAAATGAAATCTAAAAAGGGCTTCAATTGGATTTCCTTCCTACCTATCTACACAACCTAATCCACATTTTCAAAGTGAAAGAAAAATAGTCAAAAACCTTCTGAATTAATAAAAAATGAAGATGTATTGATTGCGTATGTCTTCACACCCCAGGACTGAGACTGGACCATTCAGGAACACTCTCCACCTCTTGGAAATCCATTTAGGTGTCTATTTGTCATTAACATTTGTGTAACTGTCCCTTTAAAAATAAAACTCTTTCCCAGGGTTAGGTTTTTAGAAGACTGAATATTTATTTAATTTTTACATGTGCTTTTCTCCATTCATATTTATTTTGGATTATGCCCATAACATGATTCTGCCACCACACTAATTGAAAATACAGAGGATTAACAACATTGCATTCACTCCCCTTATGGAATAAACACGTGATCTGTGATCTTATGTGAAGTTAACCTCTTAAGGATCGGACCCTTTTTTAAATTTTCGCCTAAAATGACATACCCAAATCGAACTGCCTGTAGCTCAGGACCTGAAGCAAGGATATGGATATTCTTGATACCATTTGAAAGGAAACACTTTGAAGTTTGTGGAAATGTGAAATTAATGTAGGATAATATAACACATTAGATCTGGTAAAATATATATATATTTTTAATCATCTTTGAAATGCAAGAGAAAGGCCACAATATAATATTGCAGTTTAGGCGCAATTTAGATATTGACCACTAGATGGCAGCAGTGTGTGTACAACGTTTCAGATTAATCCACTGAAGCGTTGCAATACTGGACTATTTTGTATCAAGTCTTCCCAAATGTGCCAAAATGGTCAATTGATACATTTTCAAGTACATAACTATAGAGAACATACAAAAATGATATGGTAATACAAAATGTAAGTTTACACACTCCCAGGAATGTCATACATGATTGATCATTAGCTTATACAATAACTTTCACACATCTAGAGGGCCTTGCGGGGTGCGTGTGGCGCCAGAGACAGCAAGAGTTCAAACTATAGAACCCAGTTCCTACATTTGAATATAAAAATGGATTTTATCAAACAAAACTATGCTACATTTTATCTCTGGGACCCTCAGGATGACAAATCAGAGCAAGATTACTGAATGTAAGTACATTATTTACCTTCAGAGGTGAATGTATCAAACCAGTTGCCGTGATACATTTTGTTTTTGTTGTGCACTCTCCTCAAACAATAGCATGGTATTATTTCACTGTAATAGCTACTACAGTGCAGTTAGATTAACAATAATGTAAGCTTTCTGCCAATATAAGACATGTCTATGTCCTGGAAAGTTTGCTGTTACTTACCACAGTCATGCTAATCACATTAGCGCACGTTAGCTCAACTGTCCCATACGCAGGACACCGATACCGCAGAGGTGAATATGATAGCATGTGACAACATGTAAAGCAACATGTGATAACATGAAACTACACATGTGAAAACGTGATCACATGTGAAGTGTTCCAAAAATACATGTTTTCACATGATTTCACATGACATTTCATGTGGAATCATGTGATTTTCCACGTGTGAAATCATGTGGTTTTTCTGTAAGGGTCCAAATTACTGGCCTGCATGACAAAGTGAAAAGAAGGAATCCTGTGTTAAAAAATCCACCCCAAATCATCCATTCTGCTTGCAACAAGGCCATTAAGTAATTCTGCAAGACAATACGGCAAAGAAATGTACTTTTTGGCCTAAATAAAAAATACAGGTTTGGATCAAATTCAATACAACACAATACAGAGTAAAAGCCTCTGTATTTTCAAGTATTGTGGTGGCACCATCATGTAACCGGTATGCTTGTCACCGGCAGGGACTTGGGAGTTTGTCAGGATCAAAAATAAATATGAAAGGAGCTAAGCCCAGGTAAAAAGTTAGAGGAAAACTCGCCACAGTCTACTGAAAACATAACCCTGGGATAGAGTTTTCTTTTTCAGTGGGACAATTACTCACATTTTAATACCAAAGACACACCAGAATGGCTTTCCAATAGGTTTTGAGTGTCCCTGAGTGGTCCAGTCTCATTCCTGACTTAAATTAGCTTGAAAATCAGAGACACGGTTTGAATATTGATGTCCTTGAATTATTCTCAACCAAATTTACTGAGCTTGAGCAATTGTGACAAAAACAATGGACATATGTTGACCTAACAGTTGTGCAAAGTTGGTAGAATCTTATTCAAAATGATTTACAGCTGTAATGGCTGGCAAAGGTGCTTCCACCAAGGATACTAAACAAAAATATAAACGCAACATGTCATGTGAAACCATACATACAAAAAGCTTATTTCTCTCAAAGTTTGTGCATACATTTGATTACATCCCTGTTAGTGAGCATTTCTCCTTTGCCAAGATAATCCATCCACCTGACAGGTGTGGCATATCAAGAAGCTGATTAAACAGCATGATCATTGCACAAGTGCACGTTGGGCCACTCTAAAATGTGCAGTTTTGTCACACAACACAATACCACAGATGTCTCAAGTTTTGAGGGAGTGTGCAATTGACATGCTGACTGCAGGAATGTCCACCAGAGATTTTGCCTGAGAATTCAATGTTAGTTTCTCTACCATACGTTGTTTTAGAGAATTTGGCAGTACGTCCAACCGGCCTCACAACCACAGACCACGTGTAACAACGCCAGCCCAGGACCTCCACATCCAGCTTCTTCACCTGCGGGATGGTCTGAGACAAGCCACCAGGACCGGTGATGAAACTGTGGGTTTGCACAACCAAAGAATTACTGCACAAACTGTCAGAAACCAGCTCAGGGAAGCTAATCTGCGTGCTCATTGTCCTCACCAGGGTCTTGACCTGACTGTAGTCCGGCATCGTAACCGACTTCAGTGGGAAAATGCTCACCTTTGATGGCCACTGGCACGCTGGAGAAGTGTGCTCTTCGCGGATGAATTCTGGTTTCAATTGTATGCCGTCATGTGGGCGAGCGGTTTGCTGATGTCAACATTGTGAACAGAGTGCCCCATGGTGGCGGTGGGGTTAAAGCATGGGCAGGCATACACTACGGACAAAGAACATAATTGCATTTTATCAATGGCAATATCAATGCACAGAGATACCGTGACGAGATCCTAAAGCTCATTGTCGTGCCATTCATTGAGCATGTTTGGGATGTTCTGGATCGACGTGTACGACAGCGGGTTCCATTTCCCACCAATATTCAGCAACTTCGCACAGCCATTGAAGAGGAGTGGGACAACATTCCACAGGCCACAATCAACAGCCTGATCAACTCTATGCGAAGGAGATGTGTCTCACTGCATGAGGCAAATGGTCACACCAGATACTGACTGGTTTTCTGATCCATGCCCCTACCTTTTTTTTAAGGTATCTGTGACCAACAGATGCATATCTGTATTCCCAGTGATGTGAAATCCATAGATTAGGGCCCAATTTATTTCATTCAATTGACTGATTTCCTTATATGAACTGTAACTCTATATATAACTATATTTTTGTTCAGTGTATTAACTCTGGGGTGTGAAGACATACGCAATCATGACATCTTCGTATTCTTTTTACATGTATTATTCATTTGGAACATTTTAGATCATTTTCTTTCACTTAAAAAATGTGGAGTAGGTTGTGTAGATCTGTAATTTTTTAAAAATTTATATTTCATTTCAAGGCAGCAAAATGTGAGCACTGTACTTCATTGTTACTACGCAAGACAATTGTGACATTTTTGACAGAATGGTTGACTTTAATATGACCTTCCCTCTCTCCCTGTTGTCTCAGAGATTTTGTTGAGGGTGAGGTCGATAGACCTGATGAAAACCAAGAAAGGTCAGAACCGCATGGAGCATCACACAGACCGTTACTACGGTGATGACCTCATCATCCGCAGGGGTCAGATCTTCATGATGTGGCTTGACCTCTCACGACCTTACAATCCCAACACGGACAGACTCCACCTGGAGCTTAGGACAGGTCAGTGAGACATTCTGCTGAATCATGAATGGTTACAATGACTCAAAAACGGCCTACCCTGTCCACCTGATTCGAAGCCATAGGGCTAACAAGTGCACATGATAACAGTAAGCCCTTTGTAACCAATCATGGGAACTGACTGAGTAACTAAGTGGTTGTGTGTTTTTGTTTACAGGCATGAGTTTGCGTGTGTGTCAGTGTTAAAGTGTTTGTGTGTGCTTGTGTCTTGGAACGGCCCTGTGCCTGCACCATGTTTTGGTGTGGTTTGTGGCAAGCCTCCAGTGTTTTACAGGAGCCTGCCACTCTCACAGTCCTGCCCAAATCCCCTCTTTCCACTGACAATTCACTCCTACCATAAACAGCTTCGCCACCAACCAACCCACCAACTAATTTCACCATGCCCTTTCAGCTTCTAGATTGTAATATTTATCTTAGAGATTCATTGAATATGAGTGTGTACTATATGAGGAGATGTGTCTTATCTTGCTGGGTGGAAGCCAGTGTATTAACAGACAAACAGCAAATCACCATCTGAGCCATGCTGGTATTTATAGAACAGCAACATGCAGGACAGATACTCTATGGATCTTCAGAATGAGTGTACTGCAGGTGGATTGTAGATGTGTGTGTGTGGTGTGTGTTTGAGGATGAGAATGTTGCTCTGCTTGTTTTCGCAAACACACCCTGTTAACACCTTGGGTGTGGTCACCAATCTGGCAACATGAGGCAACATATGTGTGTGACAAGTTTTATTACCAAATGAAATACCTGTTTATTATTTTATTTATTTATTTCACCTTTATTTAACCAGGTAAGCCAGTTGAGAACAGGTTCTCATTTACAACTGCGACCTGGCCAAGATAAAGCAAAGCAGTGCAATAAAAACAACACAGAGTTACATATGGGGTAAAAAACATAAAGTCAAAAATACAACAGAAAATATATATACAGTGTGTGCAAATGTAGCAAGTTATGGAGGTAAGGCAATAAATAGGCTATAGTGCAAAATAATTACAATAGTATTAACACTGGAATGCTAGATGTGCAAGAGATTGTGTGCAAATAGAGATACTGGGGTGCAAAAGAGCAAAATAAATAACAATATAGGGATGAGGTAGTTGGGTGGGCTAATTTCAGATGGGCTGTGTACAGGTGCAGTGATCGGTAAGGTGCTCTGACAACTGATGCTTAAAGTTATTGAGGGAGATAAGAGTCTCCAGCTTTAGAGATTTTTGCAATTCGTTCCAGTCATTGGCAGCAGAGAACTGGAAGGAATGGCGGCCAAAGGAGGTGTTGGCTTTGGGAATGACCAGTGAGATATACCTGCTGGAGCGCAGACTACGGGTGGGTGCTGCTATGGTGACCAATGAGCTAAAATAAGGCGGGGATTTGCCTAGCAGTGATTTATAGATGGCCTGGAGCCAGTGGGTTTGACGACGAACATGTAGTGAGGACCAGCCAACAAGAGCGTACAGGTCACAGTGGTGGGTAGTGTATGGGGCTTTGGAGACAAAACGGATGGCACTGTGATAGACTACATCCAATTTGCTGAGTAGAGTGTTGGAGGCTATTTTGTAAATGACATCGCCGAAGTCAAGGATCGGTAAGATAGTCAGTTTTACGAGGGCATTTTTGGCAGCATGAGTGAAGGAGGCTTTGTTGCGAAATAGGAAGCCGATTCTAGATTTAACTTTGGATTGGAGATTCTTTATGTGAGTCTGGAAGTTGAGTTTACAGTCTAACCAGACACCTAGGTATTTGTAGTTGTCCACATACTCTAGGTCAGACCCGTCGAGAGTGGTGATTCTAGTCGGGTGGGCGGGTGCCGGCAGCGTTCGATTGAAAAGCATGCATTTAGTTTTACTAGTGTTTAAGAGCAGTTGGAGGCTACTGAAGGAGTGTTGTATGGCATTGAAGCTCGTTTGGAGGTTTGTTAACAGTGTCCAATGAAGGGCCAGATGTATACAAAATGGTGTCGTCTGCGTAGAGGTGGATCTGAGAGTCACCAGCAGCAAGAGCGACATCAGCAGTGCTGCCAACAAAGAAACTTCATCTTATGTTTTTCCTGACAGCAATAAATGAAAAAATGCAGCTAAAATAGGAGTAAGAGAAATTGCAAGACAGAATTTCACCATATTTTGTTCTTATGATACTGAATAATATTTGTGTGTGTCTGTCTGGGATAGGACCCTTGCCTACAGTGGCAAAGGGCACCCATGTCATCATCCCATTGGTTGAGGAGCTGGAGGATGACCGTTGGGAGGCCAAGATTGTGCAACGGGACGGCAATAGGCTCAAGCTGTCCGTCAACTCCCTGCCCACAGCCGTGATTGGCCGATATCAGCTCACCGTGGCAACGCAAAGCCCGAAGGGGGAGGCCACATCTACACATGACCCTGGGAATGACATCTGCATGCTGTTTAACCCCTGGTGTGAAGGTGAGAGAGAGAGAGAGAGAGAGAGAGAGAGAGAGAGAGAGAGAGAGAGAGAGAGAGAGAGAGAGAGAGAGAGAGAGAGAGAGAGAGAGAGAGAGAGAGAGAGAGAGAGAGAGAGAGAGAGAAGGAATAAGTACATTAGTCAATACAAAGAGAGCTTGTCCCTGTCCTCAGCCAACCCTACACTCTTAGAAAAAAGGGTTCCAAAAGGGTTCATCGGCTGTCCCCATAGGATAACCCTTTTTAGTTCCAGGTAGAACCCTCTGTCGAAATGATTCTACATGGACCTCAAAGGGGTTCTACCTGGACCAAAAAGGTTCTACCTGGAACCAAAACTAGTTATTCAAAGGGTTCTCCTATGGGGACAGCCGAATAACCTTTTTAGATTTTAGATTCTATTCTTCTTTTAGATTCACCGTTTATTTTCTAAGAGTGTAAGCTCAGAGACTCTCCATAGTCTTCACCCTCATTTCAGGCTGATGACATCACACATTGGAATTGTTTTCCTTTTGAACAACTGGATCTAACCTCTCTCTCCCTCTCCGTCAGATGACACAGTGTACATGGACGATAGCGATGAGAAGAACGAGTATATCCTGAATGATGTTGGAAGGCTCTACTATGGCACAGAGAATCAAATTGGTTCAAGAACGTGGAACTATGGACAGGTGAAGGAACATGAAGATTGTCAGTCAGTTGATGGGAAAATGGCCTGAGTAGGACAGACCTAACTAACTTATTTCTATCATTGCCCCTGCTTCTCTCTCTCCTTCCATCTCTCCCTCTCTATTTCTCAGTTTGATAAGGGGATCCTGGATGCCTGTCTTTATGTTTTGGAGAAGAGTGCGACGCCCCCTTCAGGCTGGGGAGACTCTGTCAACGTGGTACGAGTCATATCAGCCATGGTGAGTCCTCCTCGCAAACACAGGGCATACACTTTAAAACCTCACAATATCACCTCTAACCTCACCTAAGCCCAACCAATGTCCAACCAAACTGGCACCTCATTATTCCGACTCTAAACTGAATCCAAAGTGAACCCGTACTCTCCTTTATCCCAGATCAACTCCCCAGATGACGGGGGGGTCCTGGAGGGGAACTGGTCAGGGAACTATGTGGGCGGGACTTCCCCTACAGCCTGGAGTGGCAGTGTGGACATCCTGAAGAAGTACCATAAGGACGGAGGCACACCGGTCAGATATGGCCAGTGCTGGATCTTCTCTGGGGTCACCACCACAGGTTAGCAGTGTTTGTGTGTTTTTATGTCTTTGGTTAAATCAAAGGACTTATCTGAGGGAAACTTGAGTGCCATGCTGCTATGCATTGACCCCTAACCTCTCACCCTCCAATCTCTTCCAGTGTTGAGGTGTTTGGGCATTCCCTCCCGTAGTGTGTCCAACTTCAACTCCGCCCACGACACAGATCGCTCCTTGACATTAGACATGTACTTCGATGAGAAGTTGGAGTCTATAGATCACCTCAACTCTGACTCAATGTGGTGAGTAGAATACAGTCATACTCTCTGACTCATGGTATCTCATTCAGTACTACATCATCTTAGTCATGTCATCACACACCACTTATGTAAATACAATGTGCATTTACTAGATTACATCTATGTTATAACCCATTCCTGCTTTAGGAACTTCCATGTGTGGAACGACTGTTGGATGGCTCGTCCAGACTTGCCACCAGGTTATGGCGGCTGGCAGGTAGTAGACTCCACCCCCCAGGAGACCAGCCTGGGCACCTACTGCTGTGGCCCCGCCTCCGTCAATGCCATCCGTAACGGACAAGTGTTCCTGAAACATGACTCACCATTCGTCTTTGCCGAGGTGGGTCTCTAGTGTGTCTTCCCCCTTCCTTTCTCTCAGATGCACAGTGATGACCTCACTTGCCCCTAGTCTCAGATGTCTTCCATCTCAACCATCTCCATCTCTCGCTCTCTGCTGTACCTGTACTGTAGGTGAACAGTGATAAGATCTACTGGCAGAGGAACCTGAATGGCACCTTCACCCAGATCCACAGTGAGAAGAACGCAGTGGGCCACTGTATCAGCACCAAGGCCGTGGGCTCTGACGAACGCAACGATATCACACACCTTTACAAGTACCCAGAAGGTAGCTTCACATAGCTGTGCAAACATTAACCAACACTGGGTAGCATTGCATATCATAGTTTTATTGCATACCTATAAAAGCAGACTCCTGTATAAGCACCCAGTGGTTAATATCTATTTAATTCATTCTTATTGTTATTCTCTCCAGGCACAGAGGAGGAACGCATCGCTGTGGAGACTGCCAGTCGCTATGGCTCCAAACCAGATACCTACTCCTCTCCCATCGCTCAGGATGTATCCATAGAAGTGACCATGGATGGGGAGGGGCCACGCATGGGGGGAGATGCAGAACTGTCCATCGTCATGCGCAACGCTAGTTCTCTACCACGCACTATCAACCTCCACAGCCAGGTGGCAGTCATGTACTACACTGGTGTGCTCAAGGCTACTGTCAAGAAGGACCAAATTCCTGTGGAGCTGCTACCAAATGAAGGTGAGCTACTGGGAATGTCTTGTGTTATATATATCAGTGACGTTCAGTCAGACATTGTTATTCATTGCATGCCCAGGTTTTTCTCATCCCTAATCCTGCCCCCCTCTCCTAACAGTGAAGACCCTGGAGTGGATCCTTCAGTACCAGCACTACCAGGACCAGCTGGTGGACCAGGCTGCTCTGATGCTGACCCTGTCGGGCAGGGTCAGTGAGACACAGCAGGTTCTGGCCACTCAGTTCAGCTTCCGCCTCCGCACCCCTGACCTCATCATTAAGGTAAGCAGAAACATAATTAATTAATATATCCATAAATCTTATCCACAGCATCTATCTGTGTGTCTGTCTGCCCATCTGAATATTGTCTGTTGTCAACATAATCCAGAGATGTTCTGTAATGATAAGGTTTCCCTATACTTGTCCCTCCTAGCCGGTAGGGGAGGCTGTGGTGGGTAAAAAGATGGCGGCTGAGATCTCCTTCACCAACCCTCTGCCATGCACACTGAAAGGAGTGGTGTTCCGTGTGGAGGGGCTGGGCCTGCAGAGTGTTCGACAGATCGCTGTTGGGTGAGAAATGTTCACATACATTCTGCTTGCCATATCTCTGTCACTCCATTCATCACATGGGCATATACAAATGTCCTGTGACCAGGGTTGTGGTCAAATCCAATGTAATTTAATTGGAACGCTAGATATTTACATTTCCCAGTCAAGGGAATTAATGCACATAATATCAACAAATTTACTGTAGGATTAGTTTTTTATCATTTAAACCTGTATTCCTATATTTCCAGTATAGCTAGGGTGTCTGAAGTGGGACATGATCAGCCTGAAAGCCTGAGGGAATTGAATTCAAATTGGAATTTGTGGAATTGTTGGGGATAATATTGAATTGGGAATTACATTTTGGGAATTTACCTAACATTGGAATTCAGAGGAATTTAATAATCTCTGAATTCAAAGACTGACCTGGAATTTGAATTGAATTAAATGGAATTTACAGGGAGAGAGAATTTAATTAGAATGTAATTTGTGAAATTGACCCCAACCCTGACTGTAACATCAACTAAACATGCCTATGAGTTCATCTGAACACAGCATCAGTCTGTATTTCACTATACTCTCTGTGGTTCATGTAGTCAATCTTCCTTCATGTTATGAACAAGCACAGTTCTAAGTGTCTCTCTCATCTCCTCTCTCAGTGACGTGGCCAGTCACTCCTCTGTGGTTCAGACGGAGGTCTTTGTCCCCAGCCTGCCTGGACCCAGGAAACTGTTGGCTTCACTGGACTGTAAACAGCTCACACAGGTTCATGGTGTTGCTGACATCAACGTGAAGGAGATATAAGTCTTCGGACACCATAGACCTCTCTTGGTCTGCTTGACTATTGAGGCATAATCACTACAGAGGTTAGCAGAAATCATCTCCCTCCCTCTCCCCCCTAACACTGGTGTTGCTGTTGAGTCCATTATGATGTTCGAAAGTACAGTTTAAGCTTGAGATACAGGAAAACCATACACCATGCAAGACAAGCATTTTCAATAGTCATATTGTTACATATTTTTCCATTCCCCCCTCTCAATATCAGACTGGACCTGTATAATGTGCCTTGAAAAGTGCCTAAACAAATGATTGCAGCCCTTACAAGAGTAATATTAGGACCTGAAGCATACCTACTGAACAGAGCACCAGTTAGTTATATGACACATGGGAACAACGTTTGTTCAGCATACTGTACAGTACAGCAATAATACTGTATACAGAATGTGTGGCTTGTTATATTGGCAGAGCATTGGCAGAACATATATATATATACACATCTTTGACACCACCAGATTTATCTCAGCTATTATTTTTCTAACACTTATTAAAAGGGGTATGTGTTAACTTACACTCTACAATTATCTAATACTATGGTGTTATTAACTTATAAACATTGTTATGGATTTGAAGAGATCAGTTATTTCAAACACATATCCATGCTTATGCACTACTTGTGGTGTGAATGTCTAAAAGTCTTTCTATGTGAACTGGATGAACAAGTCAGTATTAGGAAGTCAAGTTAAATCTGCTCCATCACATGCTTTTTGGATCCAGGTTTTGTATTAACATCAGATGTGCTGTTATTTTGCACTTCTAAATATCAGCTCAATATTAACTACACAATTAGCTCTGAACTAAATTAAGCACCCAAGGTAGTGGTTTATGACAAAATTATGAAATGGCAGCTACACACATACTTATTTTTCACAAACAGCATAGAATCTGTAAATGCTTTAATAGTGTATTATATTTCTGTGCTATTTAATTTTTATACTATGTGAGTAAATTAATTTCACTTCAATACTTTGTCCTTATTCTGTGTGTGTGTGTGTGTGTGTGTGTGTGTGTGTGTGTGTGTGTGTGTGTGTGTGTGTGTTTGAGAGAGAGAGAGCGAGCGAGCGAGGGAGTACATGTTATGAAATAGTTGATATTTTAATGATGTAAGTGTTCAGTTTGACATCATGAAAATTATGAACACACACAAACCACTCCCTCATACACATACAGTACCAGTTAAAAGTTGACACACCTACTCATTCCAGGATGTTTCTTTATTTTTATTATTTTCTACGTTGTAAAATAATAGTGAAGACATCAAAACTATGAAATAACACATATGGAATCATGTAGAAACCAAAAAAGTGTTAAACAAATCAAAATGTATTTTATATTTGAGATTCTTCAAAGTAGCCACCGTTTGGCTTGATGACAGCTTTGCACACTCTTGGCATTCTCTCAACCAGCTTCATGAGTTAGTCACCTGGAATGCATTTCAATTAACTGTGTGCCTTCTTAAAAGTTAATTTGTGGAATTTATTTCCTTCTTAATGTGTTTGAGGCAATCAGTTGTGTTGTGACAAGGTAGGGGTGGTATACAGAAGATAGCCCTATTTGGTAAAAGACCAAGTCCATTTTATGGCAAGAACAGCTCAAATAAGCAAAGAGAAACGACAGTCCATTATTACTTTAAGACATGAAGGTCAGTCAGTCCGGAAAATGTCAAGAACATTGAACGTTTCTTGAAGTGCAGTTGCAAAAACCATCAAGCGCTATGATGAAACTGTCTCTCATGAGGACCGCCACAGGAAAGGATGACCCTGAGTTACCTTTGCTGCAGAGGATAAGTTCATTAGAGTTACCAGCCTCAGAAATCAGCAATTAACTGCACCTCAGATTGCACCTCACAGAGTTAAAGTAACAGATACATCTCAACATCAACTGTTCAGAGGAGACTGCGTGAATCAGACCTTCATGGTCAAATTGCTGCAAATAAACCACAATTAAAGGAAACCAATAAGAAGAAGAAACTTGATTGGGCCAAGAAACAAGAGCAATGGACATTAGACCGATGGAAATCTGTCCTTTGGTCTGATGAGTCCAAATTTGAGATTTCTGGTTCCAAACGCTATGTCTTTGTGAGACGCAGAGTAGGTCAACAGATGATCTCCGCATGTGTGGTTCCCACCGTGAAGCATGGAAGAGGAGGTGTGATGGTGCTTTGCTGGTGACACTGTCAGTCATTTATTTAGAATTCAAGGCACACTTAACCAGCATGGCTATCACAGCATTCTGTAGCGATATGCCATTCCATCTGGTTTGCGCTTAGTGGGACTATCACTTGTTTTTCAACCATTTTGAAAAGAAGGTTGACGACATCCGATCCTCATTTGTTAAGTCAAATGACACTGCTGGTCCTGCTCACACTGCCCTACCCTATGCTTTGACTTCTTTCTCCCCTCTCTCTCCAGATGAAATCTTGCTACTTGTGACGGCCGGCCGCACAACAACCTGCCCGCTTGACCCTATCCCCTCCTCTCTTCTCCAGACAATTTCCGGAGACCTTCTCCCTTACCTCACCTCGCTCATCAACTCATCCTTGACCGCTGGCTATGTCCCTTCCGTCTTCAAGAGAGCGAGAGTTGCACCCCTTCTCAAAAAACCTACACTCGATCCCTCCGATGTCAACAACTACAGACCAGTATCCCTTTATTTTCTCTCCAAAACTCTTGAGCGTGCCGTCTTTAGCCAACTCTCTTGCTATCTCTCTCAGAATTACCTTCTTGATCCAAACCAGTCAGATTTCAAGACTGGTCATTCAACTGAGACTGCTCTTCTCTGTGTCACAGAGGCTCTCCACACTGCTAAAGCTAACTCTCTCTCCTTTGCTCTCGTCCTTCTAGACCTATCTGCTGCCTTTGATACTGTGAACCATCAGATCCTCCTCTCCACCCTCTCCGAGTTGGGCATCTCCGGCGTGGCTCACTCTTGGATTGCATCCTACCTGACAGGTCGCTCCTACCAGGTGGCGTGGCGAGAATCTGTCTCCGCATCACGTGCTCTCACCACTGGTGTCCCCCAGGGCTCAGTTTTAGGCCCTCTCCTATTCTCGCTATACACCAAGTCACTTGGCTCTGTCATATCCTCACATGGCCTCTCCTATCATTGCTATGCAGACGACACAAAATTAATCTTCTCCTTTCCCCCTTCTGATAACAAGGTGGCGAATCGCATCTCTGCATGTCTGGCAGACATATCAGTGTGGATGACGGATCACCACCTCAAGCTGAACCTTGGCAAGACGGAGCTGCTCTTCCTCCCGGGGAAGGACTGCCCGTTCCATGATCTCGCCATCACGGTTGACAACTCTGTTGTGTCTTCCTCCCAGAGTGCAAAGAGCCTTGGCGTGACCCTGGACAACACCCTGTCGTTCTCCGCTAACATCAAGGCGGTGACCCGATCCTGTAGGTTCATGCTCTACAACATTCGAGAGTACGACCCTGCCTTACACAGGAAGCGGCACAGGTCCTAATCTAGGCACTTGTCATCTCCCGTCTGGATTACTGCAACTCGCTGTTGGCTGGGCTCCCTGCCTGTGCCATTAAACCCCTACAACTCATCCAGAATGCCGCAGCCCGTCTGGTGTTCAACCTTCCCAAGTTCCCTCATGTCACCCGCTCCTCCGCACACTCCACTGGCTTACAGTTGAAGCTTGCATCTGCTACAATACCATGGTGCTTGCCTACGAAGCTGTGAGGGGAACGACACCTCCGTACCTTCAGGCTCTGATCAGTCCCTACACCCAAACGAGGGCATTGCGTTCATCCACCTCTGGCCTGCTGGCCCCCCTACCTCTGCGGAAGCACAGTTCCCACTCAGCCCAGTCAAAACTGTTCGCTGCTCTGGCACCCCAATGGTGGAACAAGCTCCCTCACGACGCCAGGACAGCGGAGTCACTCACCACCTTCCGGAGACACTTGAAACCCCACCTTTTTAAGGAATACCTGGGATAAGATAAAGTAATCCTTCTACCCCCCCTTACCCCACCCAAATTTTTTTCATAATAATAAATAATAATTTAAGATAAAAAGATCATTAAAAAAAATGTAAAGTGGTTGTCCCACTGGCTATCATAAGGTGAATGCACCAATTTCTAAGTCGCTCTGGATAAGAGCGTCTGCTAAATGACGAAAATGTAAATGTAAACAGGACAATGACCCAAAACAAACCTCCAGGCTGTGTAAGGGCTATTTGACCAAGAAGGTGAGTGATGGAGTGCTGCATCAGATGACCTGGCCTCCACAATCACCCGACCTCAACCCAATTGAGATGGTTTGGGATGAGTTGGACCACAGAATGAAGGAAATGCAGCCAACAAGTGCTCAGCATATGTGGGAACTCATGAAGCTGGTTGAGAGAATGCAAAGCTGTCATCAAGGCAAAGGGTGGCTACTTTGAAGAATCTCAAAAAATATATATATTTGGATTTGTTTAACACTTCTTTGGTTACTACATGATTCCATATGTGTTATTTCATAGTTTTGATGTCTTCACTATTATTCTACAATGTAGAAAATAGTAAAAATAAAGAAAAACCCTTGAATGAGTAGGTGTGCCCAAACTTTTGTCTGGTACTGTACATACACTGTAATGTACAAATCACATTTTCTACATTTATTTGGCCTTTTTCACATTCAGTAGTTCATTACAACACATTATGTTGGCAGTCATAAGTCAACCCCTCCATGATAAAGTCAAGATACTATAATGGTGGTCTTGTCAGTCATGACTCATGACGTCATGACATGTCAAGCCTCTTGAAAAGGAAAACTTTTTAAAAAGCCTGTAGTGGTTGGCACTGAGCTAATCAGCCTCTGCCAACAAAACTCACAAAGTAGGCTGTATACTATAAATAAAATGAAGCAGCATCGTTAAATTAGTCACACACACACACACAATCACTAATTCTCAGTCTACATTATCCCAGATGCTCTACACAACTCTGTTGAACTCCTCAGGCTGATCAACATAGACCTGATGAGCAGCTCCCTCAACCACCTGAGACACGGAAAGAGAAGGGGGGAGGAGAGGGGGACTGTGAGGATCAGCTCTATTTCACTCTTTGTGATTTCAGGGGTGTTGTCAGTTGTAATCTTGTACCCATTTGTTTGAACTCCACTCTTAGGTCTGCTATTGTTCGCTCAAAAGAGAAGCCCACTGTGGTCTGCTCACCCAGTGCTTTTAGTTCAAATGTGAATTCCATAAACTTGAATACCTCCTCAGTTTTCAAATCGCATAGGGCTGTTGCATGATAGCAACCAAAGCCAATGTAAGTCAGTTTATAACTTTCCATCTTTGGTTACTCTGGGAGTTCCTCATATTTACATTGGCTGCAGCCTCAGGCCCTATGGGGCTAACCTTGGAAAAGTAATTCCAATTTATATTCCTTCCTCTATTACTAATAGGGATAGACCAAATGGTGCAATCTTACGGCCATACCAACGATATCAATATCAACCGTCAGACAGGGCCTGCAACTGCCTATTGAACGTAGCTTGTTTGAGTTGGAGACTCCATGTGACTTTAAAAATCGTAAAGGACTTGGGTTGATG